GGGCTTTGGCGTATGCACGTAACGCAAATAACATAACCTCTATTTTAATTAGGCATTCCAAAAAAATGAATTGCCATTGGGAAGGTTTGATATATCTAAGGGTGCCAACATATGGTGTATTCTATCTACTTTACGTAAAATCATGAATAATGGATAACATTTAAATATTTAATGTCAAACACAATATTGGCAGGCTTGGCGACTACTACTTCGAATAAAAATAGCGTCCAAGTTGCAAGATTATGTCGCTACCCCCCTTAGATACACAAGAATTTATCACTGACACCTATTGTTTGACAGGTCGTTGGAATGCCTAATTGGAAATGAAGAAATCCTAATAATAATTGTCATTATCTGTCATGACACGTAAAAGTCACGATGCGTTTAACAACTTCAACTCATATTTTGGACTATACTGTAAACATTATTTTTGTGCGTTGACGTTCACGTTTATGTTAACGTACTGGAAACACTTCAACTCTCTATTATAGAGTTGAAGTGTTTCCAGTACGTTAACGTAAACGTGAACGTCAACGCACAAAAATAATGGTTACGGTATAGACCAGTTGTTAAACGCATCGTGACACGTATCATGACAGATAATAACAATTATTATTAGGATTTCTTCTTTCCCAATTAAAAAAAAGTTATTTTATTTGCGTTACGTGCATACGCCAGAGCCCGCAAGCTTACGTATGTACGAAGACGTGAACGTGAAGGATATTTTAATGCGCATGCGTATATGTCAATTTTCACGTATACGTTTACGTTCTTAGCATCACTTCAACTCTCTAATACTGATTTAGAAATTAAAAAATATATATTGACAGCCAGAGGCAAGAACGTTCAATAAAATTTACAAATAACGCAATGTAATTTTTTCATGTTATTCAAATTTTAAAACTATCTAATTTCTAATTACTATTTAGTTAAATACAACTACTTAACTATACTGCAATTTTGAGAAAACGCTAAGAATAATATACCAAACGTTGCTCTACATAAATTGACAGCTATATTTGACGTTAAACCACTTCTAAAACACTGAGAAAACTTGGCAGTTTTTTGTCCACGAATCGCCCATTAAGTTTCGCTTCTTGGGTAGGGATTCTTTGCTCTTACTAACTCACAAAAACGTATTTTCACTAAAAATACCAATAAATTTAATTAAATAGTTAATTGCTCAAAATCTATTTTTATAACATAACCCCTTCATCCACTTACCCCTTCAATTGTGTTGCTAATAATTATTGCTAAAACAGAACTTACAAATGTTAAAATTATTGGAAAAAATTTAACAACCATTTTAAATTAGCACAAGCCGCCACTGCATAAATACATATAAATGCAGAGGGTCTTATTTAATTTACTTATTTTCATGGGTTGGGGATTGTGATATCATTGATTCCATTGATCCCCCTATCTTTGCCACTGCTTCTAGGGTATAAGAATCTCTTAAAAATATTAAAATAGATATTTTATAATTTTTTCCTAATCAGTACGTATAATACTCGATAGGCGAGTCTGCTTAGAACGTGTCTCCTTTTTTCCCTATAATTACGCTGACAAGTAATTTGGTATCAAATAAAATTAAAAAAAAATATCGTAATTAATCGCCGATTTAAGATATTTCGCGCACGCTTAAACGTTTTACTGATGGATTTGCCGTTCCTCAGTGAAGACTGTAGATAAACTACTTTTAGAACACGAAATCAAGGACGATTTTTACGATTACGCGAGAGAATTCTAGTGATACTATTTCTGACCATGCACAATATGGTTTGTGTGTGTTAGTAGTTGTCGTAGTCACTAGGCAATCGTTCGTTATAGAGTTTGAGGAAGAGTTTAACATTACAAATGCATCTAGATAAGCGCGGTTTGTATGACCTTCAGTATTTACGACATAACTTGAGATGTATGAGATGAGATTTTCATTAATTCGAAGTTTCCTATTTATCAGTGAATTGAAATTTTATTGGAAGAAGAACTATGTTTAGATCATTGATTTTAATAAATTATATGAATTAACAACCATGCAAGCTTTATGTTTAGTGAAAGTACCTACTCATAGATGTTGTTCCTATATGAAAATCATTGTGTAAAAGAGTATTTATATATACCAGAAGGAAATAATATTAGCCAGAAAGAAACAGAAATAAAAGCAATGATTTTAAAACTGATTTTTAAAAGTTAAAATGCAAAATCAGTAAAAAAAAAGAAATATGAATTAAAAAATTAAAAAACATTAACAAAAAATAACTAGTAATAATTGTTAGTTTTGTTGTTTTAGGGTGAGATTACAGAACGTCTGCAACTTTGCAGATCTGCAAATATGGCGGCAACTTTGAAAATCTGCACATATGACTGACTTACACATGCAAGTATCAAGTTTTCGTATTCCAAATTTGGGTTTAGTGTTGTTGGGGGTAATAAACCACAATAAATATTGCGAATTTGCAGATATTTTTTGGAATACTTACATTTGTAAGTCCGCCATATTTGCAAAGTTGCAGATGCAAAGTTGCAGACGTTCTGTAATCTCACCCTTAGCAGATTATTTTAAATAAAAATATTGTGTCTGATAGAATGACTTTTTATTCAAAACATTACCAAACTCATTAGTCACTGTGACATCTATATCTTTTTTAATATACCGGGTGCTTTAAAACTAGTAACGATAACAACATAATACAACAATAAATACATATATCTAACAATAATTATAATATTAAGTTATTAAATTACACCTATAAATTGTAGTTTAATTAATTAATGCGTTTTAATTCTTAAACAAACAAAGATTGTATCGCGAAAACGGTAATTTTTCCCAAAATAGCGATTTCATGCGATTAATCTTAATGATATTCACATTTAAGTCTAAATAAATGGTGAACACAGAACAATAACATTTAGACTGATACGCTAGTAAGATATATGTTTAAACCCTTCTAATAGCATGTCCCGAAATGAAAGTAGGTCCCCGAGGACAGCAGGGGGTGGAGGCAAATACGGTCTTTCGAATTGCCACGGTCACACTTTCGTGTTTACTTTTACTTTAAGTGAGTGTCCAATATATCACTTCAAAGGGTGAAATAATATTTCGGTATTGATTTCGGACGAAAATTATATGAGGGGCTATACGAGCATTTTAAATTGCATTTTTTTGAATTGTAAAGAACATTGTTAATTTAAACTGTGTCTGATTAAACTCAGTTATGTACCTACATCAATCAATTTTAGCATCATCAAGATACGTTTCTAGAATCTAAATCACTTAAGAAATTGAAAATTTCCTTAATACAAGTAAAATTGCAATTACATAAATTACCTAATAAGTATTTATTAAAACTTTTTGATTAAAGTAAATTTATTAAAAAAAAAAAAATTAAAAAGTTCATAATACACATTCAATTCTTATTTTTATTGACGAAAGCCTAAAGGCTTGGTTCCGCTTGGGCAGCAGACGCTTGCAGCCGCTGCTGCAGCGGTCGCAGGGACTGATATCTGTGCATCGTTATGGTATTGGTTCTACTAGTGCGTCGGTCGCATTACATCGCATGCGACGGCTGCATCAACTACAGTCTTTACGCCGCAGTCGTTGCAAAACCGTGTTTTTCGATAGTGTTTGGAGATATTGTTTTTGTTTTTTAATTCCTTGGTTTTATATAATAATACAAAAGATGAGTGGTGAGAAACACTTCTCCCGTGATGAGGAAATAGTACTAATTGAATTGGTGTCATTTCTCGAATGTTTGTATGACAGTTCGGATAAAAGACAATATTGCCAAAGATAATGTGTGAAAAGAAATAGCATCTCTCATTGAGGGTAAAACAGGTATATAATATAAACTTTTTTGCTAATAATATTATAATATATATATAAAGTTATTACTTAAAGAAACACAGATAATGAGGTATACAACAAAGTTCTTAAGTTCTTAAAACTTGATTATCCTGCCAAAGTATTCTTCCTTCGGTCATAAAAAAATCTTTAAATTTATCCCTTACGACAAATCCTTCGGCATTGGCAAATCCACCACTTCTTACTAAAGGTAACATATTTCTTCTTTCTTGTTCGACTGCTATATTTGGTCAAAGCTCAATACATTTTCTGGTGTCATCCAAATCTTCCCTCAGTAAATTATGGAGGCACACTGTTGCCATTATTAACAAATCTGCAGTGCTTGACTTAACTGCAAAAGGCGTAAAAAAAACTCTGAACGTTTGACATAACATTCCGAAAGCGTTTTCTGACACCCTTATAGCTCTACTAAGCCTGTAATAGAAAAGAGATTTATCAAAACTTTCTCGCACCTGATTTCTATTGTAGGGTTTCATTAGATTGGGATGAAGTCGAAAAGCTTCATCTCCAACAATAACGTAAGGCAAATTAGTTTGTGTGCCCCGCAATATATTTTTGGAGGAAAACAAAATCTGTTGCTATATATCTGTTTGCTTATGGTAGACTTTGAAAATATTCCACTATCACCCTCTTTGCCATACGATCCAATGCCCACAGCTAAAAATTTATATCGAGCCAAGAGTACAATTGAAAAGAGGTTCTTATAGTTGAAATATAAGAATCCACTCTTTGCTGGACATACTATACGGACATGTTTCCCGTCAATTGCTCCGACACAGTTGGAAATTGCCATCTTTCCCAAAATTCTATCGACTTCTGCTTATAAGTACTTTCATTAAGGGAAGGCAATAAAACAAGTACTAATGTTTCACATATCGACGAAAGAACAGCATTACCAATTCTGGAAATGTGGCAGTGTGAAATCCGGAACCCAAAGGCGAGAGATCTAAATGATTCGCCAGTTGCCAGATATCTGAAATAAAAAAAATTGTATTATTTTTACAGATGATAAATGCAAAAAGAGATTTGCGATACATACAAGAGAAAGGGTTCTAGAGGAAAGAAGGTAATTATAGTTAGCTTTTTTTTAAACTAGCAAATAATTTAAAGTTTTGATAACATGCTTGTGTTTTTTCAGTACGACATCCAACATAGAGGAAGAGTCACAGGAAAGCAATGACGAGGCGGTTTCTGATGCAGACCATAATTTGGTAGAAGAGACTCAAAGTACAATAATTGACTTAGAGCAGTCTTCTATTGCCACGCCGTCAACGTCCAGTGTGGCAAGTACCTGCACCCCTGTCAGAGCCCATAAGAGAAAAATGATTGACAGCATTTCAAAATTACTTGAAGAGAACAAAAAGGCCAGAGAGAAAATCGTCGAAATATTTCTGGAAAAAACCAATGTTCCTCAAGAAGACGATGTAGATGTGTTCTACAGAAGTATCGCTTTAAGTGTAAAACGACTTCCCCCGCATTTAATTGCAAAAACAAAACTTCGACATTTAGAAACTGTAAATGAGTTACAATTGCTAGCATCTCAACCAAACGATTTACCTCAACAGCAAAACAGGTCTTCATTAAATAGCTGTGCAGAGTCGCAATGGCAAGGGTTTAATAATAATCAGGATCAATACGACCAATTACGATATCTTAATTTAGATTAAAGTTAAAGCGTATCTCTTATTTGTCATAAAAAATAAATATTTTTTTTATTTACCTTAACGTTACACCTAATTTTTCTTCAGCTGTTATCGGTCGTTGAATTATGTTGGTGGGCGCTTTCTTAATGTCTGTTTCAATGGCAGATAAAACGAAGTGAAACTGGTTTTTTGTTAGTCTAAAGAACTAATGAAATTTTTCTTCATCGTCCACTAGGTATTTACATATTAAATTTTTATAAGTTCCTTCCTTATTTCTTCATCTAAACATCATGTGTTGTGGTCTTCTCTGAACATTTCTGTTAATTATGCGCACAATGGTTTCGTCTTCTTCTTCGTCTAATAAGTAAAGAGCTAATAATGCACCACAATGCATCGTTTCACAATGAATGCTCAAAACGAACTGACTAGACAGCGACTTTTTAAAAATACTTGCATTTCCACTGCACAAGGTAAACCACTTCAACTGCCAGTAGTAAACGCAGCAGCGGCTGCAAGCAGTGGCTGCATGCGTCTGCTGCACAAGTGGAACCAAGCCTTAAGTCAGCAGCAGCAGCAGCAGCAGCAGCAGCAGCAGCAGCAGCAGCAGCACCAGCAGTGACATAAAATAGCAACAGCATCAGCAAAACCTTCAATCATATTTATTGTACAGGGTCGAGTTAAATCTGTTCCCAACTGCTGCACAATAAAGATTATAAAGTTTAGTATAAAGTATAAAAATGACACATAACACATGTATAAAATAATTATATTAACAAATAGGGAAATAATAAATAATACACGAAATTTCAGAATCAGATCTATACGTCTGTTTATTCCAAATTTTATTTTTTTTTTCACACTACTTGGGCATATTAAAATTATTTTAGAGGGTGGCCAAACGTTAAATCATCATTCTAAATCGTTATGGATCTTTATTGTAAACTTGTGTCGTTTGACCATTTTTACAAGTGGAAATTTGATTTCCAAATTTAATTTTTAGAATTTTCACACTACTTATGCACATTATTGTAAACTTGTGTCGATTTCCAAATTTTATTTTTCTAAATTTTACACTAATTGGGCACATTGAAATTATTTAAGGGGGTGGTAGAACATAAAACATAGACTCATGTCAATTGACCATTTTTTCCAAGCCGAAATTTTATATTTTTTTAAACATTAGAAATATTTTAGGGATTGGTCAAACGTCAATACCTAATTCTAAACCAAGTATGGATTTTTGTGTCGTTTGGCCATTTGTTCAAGTCAAAATGCCCTTTCCAAATTGTATTTTTTGAATTTTCACACTACTTAGAGACACTAAAATTATTTTAGGGGGTGGTCAAATGTCGATACATAATTTTAAACGTTTTTGGATCCTATTGTGGCTTTCTGATTATTGATCATTCTTTCAAAGTTAAAATTTATCCCAGTACTCTTGTTTTTCTATAATTTACCCCTTTAAATTATATTAAAGGTCGTTAAAAAAATCTAAGGGATGGTCAAACATAGTCAAAAATTAGTTAATCTTGGTGCAGTCAGTGTAAAAAAAATTAACATCGGGGGCCAGGGGGCACTCGGCCATTAATATTTTTTTAAATATTTAGGTTTCTGAGGGTGGTCAAAAAACGTTAGTGGGTGGTCAAACACGGCAAATATGCCGCTTCAAAAAATAAAATTTTTGAATTTCGGAGGGCTAGCTTCACAGAGCTAGGGACAATAAAGGATCTGAAGGTAATGTACAGGTATACAAAATTAATTATTAACGGATTTTGTTTTAGCTTGATTACTACTGGATATTAGGATTGGTAGTATTTTTACAGGGACAGGCCCATTTTTTTCTTGGGCTACTTCATGGGGTAAAAGGACCAAAAATGTTTGCATGTGCAGGCAGAATTGAGTTTAGTACAATGAAGTAATAATAATACTCTCCCTAATGCCTCTATAATTCATTATATTAGTATTGTCACCAGATTTGAATGCAGGAAAAAAGACCTTCCAAATCGAAGGTAAACTACCAGAATCCACTGATTTTTTAAAAATACGACACAATGGATCGGCAAGAGAATTGTAGCATTTTCGTAAGAACAGAGTTTGAACTGTATTAAATTATTAATGAAAAATCAAATACATTAAAAAACAGCAATTATTGAAATAAGTTATTGTAACGGGCCTTTCGGTCGTGATGGAGTCACTTTGGGAAATAAAAGAGCAGAACAACAATTAATAATTTATTAAAGATAAAATAATATATCTACAAAGTTACAATAATATAAAAGGGCTAAACATTTAAAGCCGATGAAGGCACGTCACGTCACTTCTTCTATTGGAATGCGAGACGATGATGAGACTCAAACTAAGAGTCCCGGATGAGACTCCGGCAGAGTCTAGGGTGAGACTCCGTCCAAGAGTGTCATTATTGTTGACCTAGCCGATTTTCATATTAATTGAGGTATCCAGTCAATTCGTCGCGCGACAATTTAACGCGCGACCTTTCAGAGCCGACAATTCATCGCCACGACTTTTCATCGCTACGACAATTCATCGCCACAAAAATATCGTATTTATCTATGATTTATACAGTATGTCTGAAGAACAAACAATTTTTTTGTGCTATATTGAATTTTTCTTATAAGTTCCAAATAAAATTATTTTTTCGAAAAAATTACAAAATATCTTACTCTAAATTACACAAAAATATGATTTACTTTTTTTCTGCTAATCAAGTAGTTTTTACTAAGAAAAATATAATAAATATCAATAATGTATTATTGATAAGCCAATTTAAAGTGTATAAGCGGCAGTCGCAGGTTCTCAACAGTCCTTCACCTACTATTTAAAAAGGATTATCTTCATTAGCCAATTCGGGTAAGTTACCACATTAGTTAATAATAATAGAGAATTATCCTTTATTAATCCTTTCAAGGAGAAATTCATAGTGCAATCAATATTTAATTCTAAAAAGGATTATCTTCAATAGCTTCTTTGTGTAAGTTAGTATTTTAGATGCCCTGTTTATAATATATGTATATAAGGTTTAAATAAGAAATACCAACGAACTGTAATCATTCTTATTTTGTCTTTGTACGAGTTTACATCATTGTAAAATTTGAAAATGCCGTTACAATTTGTTGACAGCGAAAGAGGTCACAAAATGCTTTTATACAATGGGCATGGCCATACACATTCTAGAGAAAAAATTTCTGGAGAAAAAGGTATTTGGAAATGTTCTCTATATCATAAATGGAGATGTACCGGTCGCATTCATACCATAGGCGATGAAATTGTGAAGAGTACCGAACATAATCATGTGTCAGATAGTGCTGATGCCGAAGTAAGAAGAGCTGTTAAAAAAATGAAAGTTTTAGCTGAACAAAGTGGTTCTACTACTCAACAAATCACTGCAAAGGTTTCCGAGGGTTTATCATCATCGGCTGCAGCCAGATTACATTTATCGAAGATGAAGTTATGAATTGAATCTACTGTTTATTAAAATATTATATAAAATATTATGCTGATTTATTTAATGTAACGAATGTATATTAAAATAAAAAATGTATATTTTATATATAGAGTGACATTATTCCAGTAAACGAAAATCTCTATCTTTAAAAGTTGTGTCAGTTTCGTTTCGAAATAGGTTTGCTTTCTCTGTCCCTAAAAATAAAAATGTTTTATCACCGCATGTAATTGGTTAATCAGACAAAGTTTTTTAATATCCTTTCTTTTAAGGAAACATCTAATAAACTACCACTTGATTGCAATTAATGGAAGGTGGGTACAAGTAAAACTAGTAACGTTCATCCAACATAAATCCAGTGCTATGGCGTATATATCCACCGCAGCGTATTCTCTTGTTGTATGGAGAATAATTAATCCTCCATGTTGCACATAATATTGTTACTGCATAATTAGCGGGCATGTAGATTCGACTGCTGTCTCTTGTAACAGTTAGAGAACTGGGAGGCTTGAATCTGTGACGGTTGTTGGAGTTCGCTATGCGACGGCACATAATAAATGGTCACTTATACAATCACTATGTTGATTTTAACACGAATCACAGTACTTATATAATGTTATTCAAAATTTTTATAAAATAATTTTTGTTCGTAAGGAATTTTGTACCATCATATCACTCATTATTAAAAGTGTATTTCAACATTTTGTGGTATTTTACGCTATATCAATTAAAAGTTAATACATTCACAGTATACAGACCAAGCGGTGGATGAGAGAGTTTTTTTACGAAGTTTTGAATGTATTTTGGATGTTTTTGTAAATTCCTCGCAATCAATTATTATTGTTGAGTTCTTACTAATTTTCAATAACTATCGATAAATATGTTTTTATAAAGTTAGGGTACATATTTTCTGATCATTCAGGGCAGTATTTGTTTCTAAAAACTGCAATTATACTAAGCCCACATAATTATCTTTAACTAGGGCTATTTCAAACTCTGGCATACGGAAATTATATTTTTCTCTTTTGAATATGCTAGGATCACATCTACACAATCTAGTTGCTTGGATAATAATGTGCCAAATTTAAATGAAAGTTTTGATAAAGTTGCGGTACATATTTTCTGATCATTCAGGGCAGTATTGGGGAATCTTTAAAACAAGTCAAAATGTTGACTTTTTATCTTCTGTTTTGGTAACTTCATTTACAAACTACCTGTGATGTTACTAAGGACCCAGTAGTTGTTAATAACTTTAAGAAAAATTCTAATATTGAACTAAAACAACATGGTAGATAACAAATCCAAAGCAAGTTGGCATTTGGTAAACTTCAAATCAAAACAAAATAAACTGTATTGAAAGTATAACCCCCAATGACTTTAACGATTTCTTTTCAAACGTGGCAGAAAATATTATTAAGTCTTTACCAGTTATACCAATTAATGATTTATTAAAGTTTAAAATAATTCCAGCTACCTACTCATCATTTTTTTTTTCAGTTACAAAAGAAGAGGTTCTTCAAGTTGTCAGAACTCTTAAAAATTCGGCATCTCCAGATATTCATGG